GAAATGTTAAAAATGGTGTTCTGGATAACTGTGCATACTCTCAGCTCCTTTGTATCTAGGCAAATAACTTGAACCAAAATATTCACAACTCACCAGTAATCATGTGTCCATCGTTTGCTGGATGCCAGTACAAGACAACTGGGGCCAGATTTGCTGAAATGCCACACACAGAACTGTAATTCAAGTGAATTAGAGTCATGGATTTGGACTTGTTTTGGCTGATTTGGCTTGGAACACGAAACATTTCTTTACAAATAAAAAAATAAAAATTGGAGTCTGGCAGGGGAAATACCATGACCAAGGTAATGCAATTAAAATGGCACTATGTAGTGGAGGGTGCACCTTTGTGTGTTTGCAGACAGGACTCCCTATGAGAGCCTCATAGTTAGCTTCCCACTGTCCAGCTTCCATTGGGAGGATCTTGGCTACACACCGACTTTATGGAAATGGGAGATTCCTTCCCAGCTTCCTCCTGTGGCCATATGGCTGAGGGCAAGCAAAACCTGGAGCCATCTGAACCCCAAGCCCCAGGTTTGGGCCTGCATGTAGGATGCCAGCCAAAGCTTTGGAAGTATCTGAAGTCCCAGGCTGAAAAGACTGGTGTGGTGGATACTTGCTGGCAGTAGGGCCACATATGGTTCTTGAACGATTCAAAGGATTTGGAACTGATCTGGCTAATTTGACCCGGGACACAAAAAAATTTCCTTCAGAAAAAAAAAAAAAGAATTTGACTCAAGTTTTAAATACAAAACATCCAATAAAAAAGTGAAGGTTTCTAAAGAATCATGTCCTAGGTGTCTCACATTGATGTCAGGAGACCACCATGATGTGGGTAGTCAGGGCTTGGCACCAAATCAGTGATTCTCAATCAGGAATGCCATAAGATCCTTTTAAGGGGTTGCTGCACAATATTAGCACCGTTAAGTATGCAAACACCTACATAGTTCTTTGGGTAAACCTGATAACTTTTAGTAGACCAACTAAAATAGTTGGAAAAATTCTTTCAAAGAATTTTTGCCATAAGCCAAGTCCTAGGAGCCAAAGGTATCTGAGGTAGAGAAGTGTCTGTTCTGTTAAGTAACCTGCTGAGCACTGAAAGAGCTACTACTTATAGTCGGGACCTACTTAAATCATGGCAGAAGTGCACTGCACAAAGACCCCTTTAATCTTGCACTTTTTGCCTTGTCCCTTCCCCACACCACTAATTGCTGGAGAGGCCCTGTCAGCCCCGCTGTTCACCGTTTGCTGATGATCAGCTGGGAGGCAAAAACCGCAGCAGATTTAACACTGTCATTTTTGCCTCCTGGCTGATCATAGCAGGGCTGACAGGGCCCCTGTGCCAATCAGCGGTGCAGGGGTACATGGCAAAAAGAACAAGATTAAAGGAGGTGCTGTGCAGTACACTTCCACTGGAATTTTGGTAGCTCCCTACTTATAAGCAGGTGGCTATACCTATGCAGATAACTAGATCCGGCTGGAAGTGATTAGCTCGCTGGCTTCAGGCCCACTTAGGAGCTACCCAGCCACTCAGCTGTGCTGACTCCAGACAGGTGTGCGTCTACAGTTAGTGGGCACTTTTTCCAATATTGCAAAATCTCTATGCCTTAGGGCCATGTTGCACAAGACACTTAGTATGTGTTATTTGTACTTACAACTCGAGTGTCCACGTATACAAACAGGGTAACACCATGTTAAGTATGCTTATATCATACCATACTGTACCAAAATTAAGCCTTTTCCAGCTACGAGTATCTCCAGATCATATTAAATAACACATGTTGAGCTAACGTTGGACTGCTCCACAGAGATGCTATGAACAATTGCAGCACAAGGACCACATGGGAGTCACCAACTGGCTCTGATACCACTCCAGGACTGAGACCAAAACTCAGTTGATTTTTGCTCCCAACCCTGAGATTGCACTAGAGTCTCCATTTGGGTCTGGTGTGGTCCTGGAGCTGAGACTGAAAATCAGCTGACTGTCAGTCTCAGCCCAAGGACTACACCAGAGCTGCTTTAGTGCCACCCCTGCTGCTTGTCCCTACTGGTGCTCTGGGACCAGAGCTGGTTTGATTGTTGGTCCCAGCCCTGGGACTGCACTGGAGTCTCATCAAGCTCCAGCCCCAGGCACTAGTGGGATTCAGCAACAGGGGCACCACCCTCTCTTAGGCTCCATTGCCCATGCCTCCCTCCATTCATTGCCAGCAGTAGAGACCCAGCTTGGGAGATCATAGTAAGTATTACTATGTGACTGCTCAAAATATGTTCTAACTTGTGTTAATAATATGAAGATAAAAAGGCCACCTTTTCTCATCAGGGTATTGGGAAGATAAATTCATTAATGTTTGTGAAGCATTCAGATGATGCCATGGCATGAACACCCTAGTATCACCCATCAGACATGAGTAGTAATGTTTTGAATCCAAAGTGATGTCTGTTAAACAATGTCCCCCCCCCCCCCCCCCGCAGTGCCAATAACTATGCATTAACTGAATGGAGTCAGGGTCCTGTGGAAATAAAAGAACTTGAAGCATGTAGCCAATTTGGAGCTTACACTTTGACTCTTTTGACACACAAATATGCACAGAAGGACTGCTCAGGGTTCTAAAATACAATTAGTCTTCCCTTAGCAGCCCACTCCATATACAACCAAGAAATTAATAAACGTACCTGTATACCTTTTGCCTGCCTCTGTATCCACCTCATTGCAAAGAGTTCTTTTGGTCTGGGTAGAGTGTTGAAGCTTCTTTTCAGAATCATGGAGGCTTTATTTTTTTCCCAATAAAGCCAATTTGCTGACTCTGACTTTTACTGATTCCGCTCTTAATTAAAAAACCCTTTTACAGAAGCAGCACTGACTCTTCCTCTCTTTTCTAAAACCGTCGAGTGATTTTTAAAACCTTCCCCAGTTTGTCCTCTTGCTTTGTCACCTGTCCCTCCTTTTGGGGCGTTTTCCACTCTTCACTTCCTTCAGACCCTTTTCAAACTTATTCTTTCAGTTAATATTGTTATATGTTGTTTCTGCCTGGCTATGTGGACCCCAGACTGTCACAGACAGCATTAACACTGGTATTTCATAACTTTTGAGTGCTTGACTTCACAACTTCTTTTTTAAGATTTTTTAAACATGGGTATTTTGGATGTGGTACATTTGCAAAGTGCATCCTCCAAGAAAAGTGCTAATAGTGTATGAAGAAAGACCCCCAAGTCAAATTAGCACTACAAGTGATTCACTGCAGGCAATATATAGATGCAGGGCAGAACTCATAATTAAACACTGCTCAGCAGAACTCCTTCTTCTTCCTCCTCCTCCTCTTCTTTCTTCTTTCATTTTTCCCCTACATGTTAAAAGAAGATTTTACAAATTTTAATTTAAAAAAGGTGTTGATTATATTTCCAGCTAGAGTGAGCATTGTTTAAATAACAGCAATTCACACCGTCTCATTTCTAACCATGGGTGGAATGCATACAGCATGTACTAGATTGCAAATACAGTATGAATTTTCTCCAGCAGCCACTTAGGCAATTGCAACTTTGTGTTACCCTGGGGAGATTTGTGTGCCTAGCCACTTGCTTCAGGTTATATTCCCTTTAAATGGAAGTGAGGTTGGCAGTGCTGTTAATATGCACTTGTAAATATTTTGGCCATTCCATGTGTGGCTTTGCTCTAATTATTGGTCATTGTATGGAACAAGTGACAAATGGCCCAGTGAAAACCTTTTAGATCACAGGATATATAATCATTAGGAAAAAAAACAACCAGTCATAATAACTAGCTTCTTTTCCAGCACCAATCAGAGGGAGATTTTACCCATTTCTGACATGTAGTAGAAAAAAATAACAATGCTTCAACATCTATGAAACCAGATTGCCAAGCTGAAATGTCCTAGATTCCTTTAAGAAAAGCTGTACTTTCAATGTATTATACTGTGATTTATTAATGATTTTGTTAAGAATTCTGATTAATTTATTTCCAATTTTGAAAAAGAAACATGTTGGTAGAATTGTTTTTCAGTTTCATGTTAGAATTCTCTCAAAATAATTGTCATTTCTAAGCAAAACCAGTGCTTTGCATAATGAAACATACTAACTCGCTTCTTCAAAAAGTTAGTTTTTGCATTTTCCATTCATATTTTTAGTTCATTATATATTTTTGTGGAGATTGTATACCACTTGGTACCAACTATTTATCACCTTATCTATTATCCACATTGGGAAAAAAACAGGACCTTAGCAAAAGTTTTCCAAATGTATGCAGTGCTGTTTTGTGTAAGCATTTTTTTTCAGAGTAATTGGGCTTATTTTCTGGAGACCTCCTAAGGCTAGTGTATCACCCACTGAAATTGTGTTTGAAAACCTCAGCACAGATTTCACACTAGATATTTGGAAAAAAAAATCCCACCTCCCAGGGATCTGACCTCATTGGATTTGAGCATCCAGTTTTATTGGATATCTATAAGTTAAAATATTTCTTCAGTTTACATCTTTATAACTCTTCCCCATTAGTAAAAGATGGTACTGTGGACTACCTTTTTAATAATGAACCTGTCTTTAAAAAAGCAGAGACCTGATTCTGATATGACTTTGGGTCAGGTCTTGCAAAAAGTGAAATATATGTCTAACTTTATTATAAGTACAGTCAGCTCTCTGTAGGATTATTAAGTCTCATGCAGTGGAAATCAGAAACAAAACAGCTGATTTCAGTGATGCTTTACCAGTGAAAAAATGGTATATGTATGAAAAGAATCAGCCCACTGATGTCCAGGTGAAGTTACTATTTTTAGATGGCTGCTGAGCAGCAAGATAACACAATAAAGGTGTTTATGCATGTAACCAATTTGAGCTAGATTGATTTCTTTCATGACATGTTAAAACAATAAGACTGTCACCACAAACTTAGGAAAAAATATATTGGTTGCCATAAAGAGTATTTTACTAGGACCTTAGTAGTCTAAAATCAAATCTCAACTTGAAATAACACCTTGCCTTCTCTTTGATAGGTGCAAGTGTAACCTTCATGCCACTAGCTGTAAAGAAGAAAACAAAAAATTGTTTTGTGAATGTGAGCATAACACTACAGGCCCGGACTGTGGGAAATGCAAGAAGAATTATCAGGGCCAACCTTGGAGCCCTGGCTCATATCTGCCTATACCTAAAGGCACAGCCAATATCTGTGAGTAGTTTTAGGCTCCATATTTCATTATAGCTATAATTCTGTTTCTCAGTGGGCATGGGGAAAATAGTACTAGCTAAATTGTGTCACCTATATATTACCCAGTTTGTGAAGCAAATGTCATGTCTATAATTTGATGGAGAGGTAATTATGGTGGTTAATTGCAAGTGTATGTTAAACTCTGCTCTCATGTGCATATGAGAAACTCCCCATGAGACTGTGTGTTTGCATCGTAGGTCAAAATTTGGCCACCTATAATTAAATAAAGTGCTATATTTCTCTCTCCTTAACACACTGCAAGTCTTTGTTGCATGTCCTTCATGTCCTCCAGTAATATTCATATGAATGAAATACCCGTTATAGACATGTCTGAGGTTAAGAGAGCCTCAGTGAAAACTGGAAAAAATTCTTCCCCAAACATACAAAATATAACAAAACTGCAAATGTTCTTGTATTCTGTTTTTTCTAAATATAAAAGATATTTTATCAAGTAATTGGATATGGACATAGAAACAATAAGATTCATAACCCATAGCCATATTAAATATGGAGGCCACAATAAAACACCCTTAACCCATTGGGAACCATTCCCTAAATTACCAAAGAGGGATGTTTCACTGCAGATTCCAACTGATCAGTAATGACTGTGGACTCTTTAGAACTGAGTACAGAGAGCAGTGCAGTGCTCCCATCACACGTACTTGGGCCTACACCTACACAGATTTGCAGAAGTTTAGAGCTGGAAGGGACATGAGATCATTAGGTCCAGCCACCCTGCTTTGGGCAGGAAAGACTGCTGGGGTCAAATAACCCCAGCAAGGTGTGCATCCAGTCTCCTTTTGAAGATCTCCAGGGTAGGTGCCTGCACCCCCCCCCAGGAATCTATTCCAGAGTCTAGTCACATGAACTATAAAGAAGTTTTTCCTTATATCCAGTCTTAAACCTTCTTCTAGGGAGTTTATGACCACTGTTCCTGGTTTTCCCCTGAGGCACTTTGGTAAATAATTGTTCACCTAGTCCCTGATGCTCTCCCCTGATATATTTGTAAGCTGCCACCATATCCCCTGGAAGTCTTCTCTTTTCTTGGCGGGACAGCCCATTATCTGTCAGTCTTTCTTTGTATGGCTTGCTCTTCAGGCCTCTAATCATACGAGTGGGTTTTCTCTGGACTCTCTCAAGCTTCTCCACATACTTCTTGAAGTGTGGCATCCAGAATTGGACTCACAACTCCAGCTGCGGCCTCACCAATGCCGAGTAGAGTGGGAAAATAACTTCCTTAGTTTTGCTTGAGATGTGTCAGTTGATGCATGCTAGTGTATTGTTTGCTCACTACCTGTAGCATCACACTGGTGGCTCATATTCATTTTATGGTCAATTATAACCCCGACGTCCCTTTCGGACATGGTGCTAGCTAGCATAACACCGCCGAGTCTGTAAGTTTGTTGCAGATTTTTCCTCCCCAGGTGGAGCATTTTACATTTCTCAGTGCTGAACAGCATCTGGTTTTGGTCTGCCCATCTGACTAACCTATCTAAGTCCCCTTGGATCGTTGGCCTACCCTGAGGTGTGGCTGCACTTCCTCAAAGCTTAGTGTCATCGGCAAACTTTGCCAGTGTGCTTTTCCACCCCCACATCCAGATCATACAGCAGGGACCTTGGCTGAAAGGCTGGAACTACCAGTGTGTTCCCTCACCCCTACACAGCTATTAAGATGAATTCGGGAGAGCTATATGATGTGTAACACATGGAAGCATATGTTCAGTGTTGCCTATGCTCAGGTAGCTTCCTGCATTAAAGGAACCTTTAACTCACTAATTGCAGTGGAATCAGTGAACCAAAGTTGCAGCCATGTAATTTAGCCCCTCAGAAGCAACATTCATGAGATGCCAGATGAAATTTAAAAACTCTAAACCACAGTTTGTCAATTTTGCTACATGGGAGAGATCACTCCAAAACCCCAAGCAAAACTTGGTAATCAGCCTGGCATCTGACATGGTAAAAGGTCCAAGAGCTCTGATGGTGGTTAAAGGTGAGAGCTGGAACGGAGTCCAACTGACTGTGCACCAACAGCATTAGCCAACAGAAGTCACCCTGCCCATTGACAGATAAGAACCAATCTACTACCTCCTTGTGACCCAGCTGTCCAGTGGCAGCAGGAAAGGAAAACAAAAGCTTCATTACCTTGATCCCAGTGCCAGTGCACAGGGAGTGACAAGGGAGGAGGGAGAAACAATGAGAAGAAACATGGAAAGCGTATGGAATATTGTCTCTCTGCTCCTGCTTGGTTCTCCCCCTTGATCTAGAGGAAATACCCCCACAGACACAACCCACAAAGACACAAAATGATAAAGAAATTTTAGGTTAAAGAGATTAGAATGTGCAAGTTTAAACCCAGGCTTTGTGAATTTTTAAGGGCAATGTAATGTTGGATTTTATGGATGATAATGGAGGAGTCTGAAGATGTTAACGCAGATCCTTTACCAGTGATCTGTGTCACTTATAACCATAGAACCTTGCTGATTTCTGTGATGTAGTAAAAGTGTTAAAGAAGGCAGAACATGGCCTGTTGTGTCTGTATGCTTCAAGCTAACTCTTAGCTCAGAACTGATATGTGCCAGTGAAAAATGTCTGTTCACCAATACAGTATACCTTTAGAACATGCATACTCCCGCTGTCTGATTGATGCCCCTGAGAGCCATGCATGCTGACTGTGGATGGGATATGGCCCTAAGGATGCAAAACTGAAAAAAGGGGCATGAAAGCAAGAAGGACAGGCACCTATTCTCCCATTCAGCAGGCATGAAATATATAACAACTCATATTCTTCCCAATTTGAATAACACACCTAAATCCCTATGAGGAAAAGAAATGAGCATGATGAGACTAAGTCATCAAACCTTTTCAATGGAACTTATTAGCTGCTTTAAAAAAAAGTCTGGAGTTTGTCCTGATTAAAAGCAAAAAGCTGGTTTTAGAATATTAGAATATAACCATTCACTGAAAAGTTATTTAGAAAAAAACAGGGTTATATACTGCAGTTGAATGAAAAGTTTAAAATCCTGCAGCAGTGTGCAATGCTTAGAATGTTATCTAACACTTCAAAGCAGCAGCTGTGAGGAATCAGAACTCAGAAATGAATATCACAGGAAGCAGGACCTTATCAAGTTAAATGTGAGAGTAATAGACTAAGTAACAAACCATGAAGTGTGGGGGCATGAAATTATGATAAAATTCCTACGAGGCAGAAAAAAATGAACCTTCAAAAAGAGGAGGAAAAACACTTTGTAAGAGTATTCACTTTTTCCCCTGTTATAAAAAAAATGACAGTCTAGCTCATAGAATTAATACTTTAAAGCTATGTTCAGCAAAAAAATTCAGATTCACAGTTTTTGGTCAGTTTCTACAGGTTTCATTCAGCTCCCCAGCTCTAACCAAAGGTCACTGTTCTTGAGCTTGGAAAATAAGATGCATCAGAATGGCTCTCTCTGCACCTATGTCATGTAAAATATGCCATTTTACATCAATTCAGCAAATGCCAATTAAACCATATTCTGTGAAAATATATGGTTCCATCAGAATAAAAATGCAATGTAAAATCACTTTTGGATCACTTTTACTGGAAACTTATTTTAAAAAAGAAGAGTCAAATGGCCCCATTACAATATATTCATCAGAAATGGTTTTGGTTTTGGTTTGTTTTCATTGTAAAATGCCTTCGTTCGGCCTTTTTCATCATGTATTATTACATACCATCATACAAAAGACAAAATCTGTATGAAACATCAAAACATTTCCTTAATTTAAAAAAAATCAAAATGTTTTTCAAAATTTTCATACAGAGATTTTTCAAAGTACTTGTTTTTCACTCAGATTGAAAAGGAAGCCAAATCTCAACATCTCTAAATCTTTTACAAAGCAGGACTTCTGTCTTCTCCATTATCCTTCTGCTGACCACTCCTAGCTAATCACAATTTAGGAGACATTTTCAGACTTGAAACTTAATAGATTAGTCTATACTACACATGGCCTAAGTTTTGGAATAAATGATAGTCTATGCCAGGGGTGCTCAACCCTTGGTCAGTGGGCCAGATCTGACCTACCAAGCCTTATTATCATACAGGCTGTGGACTCCCCAACGGTCCAGTCATTTGGCAGCAGGGGAGTAGTGGCAGTATTAATTGCTGTTCCCATGCTCCCAAATTTCTGGAATGCTGGGAAGTCCTACGGACCAGATAGTGTGCTCCTCTGCATGAGATTACTCCAGTGAGCTGCTGGATCTGGGGCATGGGATCATGATGGTGCTTGGGGTTGGCAAGCATGCAGCTGTATTTGGTTTGGCATACAGCCAGATCCAGGCACATGGGGTTAGGTCAGCATGCTGGATCACACCCATGGGCCAACCCCACATACTGACCCTGTGCAGGATTCGGCCCGTTGACCAACCTCATGTCACTCACGTGGCCTACAGGGCTGCAGGGTCAGGTACCATTGTTCCAGACATTCACTGTTCTCAATCACAGAGTTTTTTTCCTTACTGAATATTCTTCCACCCCCAGCTTTGTTTGCTCCTTGTGAAAGAGCATGACATCCTCTGCATACTAGAATGACTGATAAGTCTATTTAACTCTATATTTAGCTACTGCTTTGGGTACATCATATTGACTCTTTTGTGATTAACTTTGTCTAGTGGTGCTAGCAAATGCAATGGGCTTTTTTTTTTTTAGCATGTTTTGACAATCCAAGTGATTTTACTAGATTTTCCAAGTACCTGCTACAGGACAGTTTCTCTTTAGCAGCCACATCTGTACAGCAGCCTTTAGTCTTTCTCCCGCTTTTAAGTTTTCTTGCACTTAAGTGGTTACAACTTTATTCTGTTGAATAGCAGTGTTAAAGATGACACCAGGCTCCTCTCCATCAAAACTTATTCTTACTCCCTCAGTTGCATGCAGAGCGAATAATCTGTGTCAAAAATGCTAGGCACTTAGAATTTCTCATCTTCC